GAAATCGAGATCGCGACAAGACCAGCGTGTTTGTAGTAGCCTTAAAGTCAACGTGCCCTTTGCCGATTAAAGTGGGCGATGAGTTATTGGAGGCTCGTTTTTGTTGTGTTGTTATTGTTTTTATTATTTTTATTGTTGTTTATTTTTATTTATTGTTATTATTTATTATTATTTATTATTGTTTAATGTTATAATGATAATAATTTTAAGGTGAACGGAAGAGTGCTGCTAGGTTTGTCGCATTTGAACGCGTCGGCAAGAATCCGCGAATGTTGTGAAGAGGGCACGTTGGAGCTGCTGCTGCTGAGGCGATTCGACGCTTTGGTAAGATTTGTGTTGTTAAATTTAATGTTATTTTTGATATTTATTGTTATATTTAATATTGTGTGTATTATTTATTATAGAATTATTGAATTTCAGGAGCAAATGGCTATTCGTCCGGAGCCAATGTTGAGCCGCTCGAGGACGAGTCCGGCGTGCGATCAAGACAGCGCGAGTTTAGTCGAGACAACACTGATTCCGGGGAGACGCAGACAGCCTGGAGAGCCGACGAGAGAGGACGACGGTGGCGAAGAGGAGGACGACGACAGAGACTCAGAGGAAAAGCAACAGAAAGGAGGAGGCAGTGCGGGAACAGAAGAGAGCGCAGGTATAGAAGAAACGAAAAAGGAATCATCAGAGGTGGCAGAAACAAAAGAAGAGTCGTTGTCTCGAGCGTCGTCGTCGTCGTCGTCATGTAACGCCAGCCGGGAAGCAAAGGTGTAGTATTTTTATTATTATTATTATTGTGTTCGTTATTGTGATTGTAATTGAAATATTTGTTGTTGTGCTCATTGTATATGTTATTTGCTGTAATATAATTGGTGGTATAGTTTTGTTAATATTGTATGCAGTATGTATTGTGTCTGATGCCACTTTCCGTATCCTGGTTCATCTGATAAGGTTTATCAGCTTATCAGCTGATAAGGCTTAGTCTTATCAGTTGGTGATGAGGTTTATCACCNCCTTATCACTTAGGGTTGAGATCTAGGCTTGTTCAGGAGGATTCTACTGACTTTGAAATACTTCTATTGACTGAAATTTGATGCGATGGGATGACGAGAGATAGAGTGTTTGTTAGTTGAGGAGAGGTTGGGTTGCTGAGCAGGAAGTCGACTGATACAGTTGGGGTGAGAGGAATGGGGCGTGTTTTGAGTAGAGAGTGTTAGAAATGGGGAGAGTTGAGGCGGTTAGAGGGCAGATGTACTGAAATTCAAGAGTTCAAAATGAGTCAATAATGTTGAAATTTGATGGGATGAAGTTGACTGTGACTCATTTTATTGGGAATATGTGGCTGCATTCGTTTATTTATTCAAATCGTGCAGCTTTATATCTCGTGCATTTTTCTTTGCGCCTCCTCTGAGCGCGTGGGGAAAGTTTATCTCTATGTGTGTCTTTCTTTCTTTGTGCATCTTTTCCTGTGTTCACGGATGTTGTATTTCTGTGTTTACTTTGTTTCTTTGTCGTTTCTAAACGCATTGTGGTGACAGCGTAAATGGCGTTATTGCGCGGCGCTACACATCCCCGGGGAAATACACACCTTAATTGCGGGAGACGCCAGACAGCTGAAGACCGGCGAGAGCAGGGCGTGCAACATGTGTAACGCGAGAGAGTCATAGAAAAAAGACAAAAATGGAATATTTGTGAAGAAGAATCTTTCTGACTCTTACTCTTGCGTTCAGTTCTCTGCGTTCGCGTGCACTCTCTGCACTTTCCCGTGCGTCTGTGGTCTCTCCGAATTCTGAGATGTTTCCTTTCCTCTGTCATTGTTGGGTTGAAATTTCGATTGGATACTGGAGATAAAAGCTGTTTGTTGCAGCTGAATAATATCCATCCACCTGATTGTTGCGTTTAGCTGTGACATTTATGGTTGTGATTGTTTATTGTTATTTAATGTTATTATTTATTATTGTTATTATTATTGTATGTTTATGATTGTGCTTTGTGGTTGTTATCATTTGGGATTAAGCTGAGGCCGGGTGCGTGAGGAATGGAAAGCCGTTTAGCATCTCGTAGGGTGACTACTGTTAATGTTAATAGGTGGCCTGTTGACTGC